TGTTGGCTTCGTGGATGGGGCGGATGCGGAGCTTTTTGGTAGCTTCTTGTTGGGGAACGTAGCAGAAATTCAAAATTTTCTACACATCACCAAGATCAATCTATGGAGTAATCTAGCAACGAGGGAAGGAGAGTGCATCTACATACCCTTGTAGATCGCTAAGCGGAAGCGTTCAAGTGAACGGGGTTGATGGAGTCGTACTCGTCGTGATCCAAATCACCGATGGTCCTATTGCCGAACGGACGGCACCTCCGCGTTCAACACACGTACAGCCCGGGGACGTCTCCTCCTTCTTGATTCAGCAAGGGGAGAGGAGAAGTTGAGGGACAGCTCCGTCAGCACGACGGCGTGGTGGTGGTGGAGCTCGTGGGTCTCCGGCAGGGCTTCACCAAGCACCATGGAGGAGGAGGAGAAGGTAGGAGGAGGGAGGGCTGCGCCAGGGAAGAGGTCGCGGCTGCCCTCCCACCCCTCCACTATATATAGGGGCAAGGGGAGAGGGGGAGGCGCCCTAGGGTTTTCCCTAGGGGCGGCGGCTAGGCAGATTGGATCTCCCTAGGGAAAATCCTAGGGAGACTTGCCCCCCAAGCCAAGCAGGTGGAGGCTTGCCTCCCAAGCCAGGTGGAGGCGCCCCACCTCCCCAAGTAACATGGGAAAGGGTGTGGGGGGCGCACCAACCCTTAGTGGGCTGGTTTGCCCCTTCTCCTTTGGCCCATGAGGCCCTCCAACACTTGCCGGGGCTCCCGAAACACCTTTCGGTCATGCTGGCCATAGCCTGGTACCTCCGGAACACTTCCGGACTCCAATACCCTTCGTCCAATATATCGATCTTCACCGCCGGACCATTCCGGAACTCCTCGTGACATCCGGGATCTCATCCGGGACTCCGAACTACCTTCGGTAACCACATACTATTTCCCATAACAACTCTAGCGTCACCGAACCTTAAGTGTGTAGACCCTACGGGTTCGGGAATCATGGAGACATGACCGAGACACCTCTTCGGCCAATAACCAATAGCGGGATCTGGATACCCATATTGGCTCCCACATGTTCCACGATGATCTCATCGGATGAACCACGATGTCAAGGATTCAATCAATCCCGTATTCAATTCCCTTTGTCTACCGGTATAGTACTTGCCCGAGATTCGATCGTCGGTATCCCGATACCTTGTTCAATCTCATTACTGGCAAGTCTCTTTACTCGTTCCGTAACAAATCATCCCGTGATCAACTCCTTGGTCACATTGTGCACATTATGATGATGTCCTACCGAGTGGGCCCAGAGATACCTCTCCGTCACACGGAGTGACAAATCCCAGTCTCGATTCGTGCCAACCCAACAGACACTTTCGGAGATACCCGTAGTGTACCTTTATAGCCACCCAGTGACGTTGTGACGTTTGGCACACCCAAAGCATTCCTACGGTATCCGGGAGTTGCACAATCTCATGGTCTAAGGAAATGATACTTGACATTAGAAAAGCTTTAGCATACGAACTATACGATCTTGTGCTATGCTTAGGATTGGGTCTTGTCCATCACATCATTCTCCTAATGATGTGATCCCATTATCAACGACATCCAATGTCCATGGTCAGGAAACCGTAACCATCTATTGATCAACGAGCTAGTCAACTAGAGGCTTACTAGGGACATGATGTTGTCTATGTATCCACACATGTATCTGAGTTTCTGTCAATACAATTATAGCATGGATAATAAACGATTATCATGAACAAGGAAATATAATAATAATCAATTTATTATTGCCTCTAGGGCATATTTCCAACACTTCTCGCCTCGTGCTGGGTTCAGTTCGACGCCCCCTGTGTTGCCGGACTTCGAGGGTGGGGCCTCCGCCGAGGGTGTGTCTCCAGTGCTGAAGATCATGCCCGAGCTGTAGGTGTTGTGTGGGGAGCCTGTTTCGCCTCTGTCGATGGAGCAGCTCAAGATGGGCTCTCTCCATGCTTCGGAGGTGGCTCTGGTGTCCTCCCCACCCCCCGTGGAGCCTTGTCAGGCACCAACCAGCCTGCCTCTTGGCGTCGTGAAGCGTGGAGTTTTAGATGTTGCTGCCCTTCCTTCGCTTGTGGGTGACGTGACCATTGAGCCAGATGCGCTGGCGCCTACTCCTGTTCCAGAGATTTCCTTTGCGAAGAAGCTTTGTGACTTACTTGCCAGTGTGGAGGTTGCTACACCTGGTTTGGGCAGGTCGATTGCTTTCCTCTTGACGGGGACGACAATAAGGAGCAAATGCGTGAAGGTGGGCAAAGGCAAGAAGAATGGCGCCGTAGAGAAGACGTATGTGGCTACTTGATCTCCAGTCTCTTGGCCCACCCTCTTGGATTGGGCTGTTGTTGTGGCTTGGGGGTACCTGATGACTTGTGTCGGGGATCACTCTGTGTGGTGATAGCGTTGGTGGGTTCTTCGTCTGTAGTCCGTTTGTATTAGTTTTCGCCCGGTTTCCCGTGAATTAACTGGGCAATTCTCTTCTTTTTAATTAATTGATGAGGCAAAGCTTTTGCCTCCGTTTCGAAAAAAAAATTATTCAACCGGCCGAATCAACGTTTCCCTTTCCGAGGTAGGAGTAGAAAAGTGTGGCTGTACCACCATTTCGTGACAGAGGCCAGTGAGAGCATGATTAATAATATAGCTGGCTATATAATGTTATCACATCATCGATAATTAAATTTATAGCCGACAAATATAATAGTTAGATATAAATATATAGTATTTTATTGATACATGGCCATAAAGTATCTATGAGCAGTTGCTGCAACCAGCTATTAACTAGTAGCTCGATTCTCTTCTCTCTCCTCTTCCCTCTCTTCCAACTAAGTAAAAATATAATATTTAAAGTCTTATAGCCTGCTTGTATCACCTTATTGTACTTGCTCGAAGGGTAATTTCAGTGGCCTGGTTCATTCCTTGGCTTCCGCACCTTCCCAATTTAAGTAGAGACCTTTCCCTCATTTGCGCTCCACACTTCTCAATACCTTCCTTCCAACATCATCCTTGTAGTCGCTCCATCGTCCTTCCCCAGCGATGACTCCACCGGCCACCTGATCTTGTGCGAATAGGAGGAACGATACAGAGGCGACAACTAAGGTCGCGGAAGGATCACGCGCCCCAAAGCAGAACTCATGCCGGTAGGCGATGGATTGTCTGTGCGGTCGTGCGACGGTAGGTTTCCTTGTCGTGCATCACTTCCGGTCGGTTTCTTCTTTCTTTTTAATCATCACCCTTTGGATTGATTTCAATTGTTGATCATCTCAAGGCTAAGTAGTTTCTTGAGGCCCCTACGTCTTCGGCGACCACGACCAAGTTGCCGGTCATCGAGGAGCTCATGACTCTTTTGACCAAGAAGGAGAAGGAGTTAGCTAAGCTCTGCAAGGAACCGTCGCGTTGCCGACGAATTGATAACTGCTTATGAGTGCTTGCTGAAGGGGAAGATCGGGCGATCAAGGCACTGGACATGCTTGACGGTGTGATGTCGAGAGACCAAGCGACGATGAAGGATTTGGTGGCATCGAACAAGGCACCTAGTGATTATGTTTACCTCCTCAGGAAGATGATCGACGTCCAGACCCAGGATGCCGAGATCCTCCACAAGGAGCTCGCTCTTGCCAAGGAGGGGAAGTTCTTATAACTTCCAAGGTCGGTCCCATGTTAGGGTTTGTCAAGCGAGCTCCTTGCTTTCATTTGCAAGGAGCAAGGACCTGTCAAGATTTTGTGGATGCCCTATTTTGCTTCGAGGGTTTTGTGGATGATGCTAAGTGCTTCGTTCTTCAGATCAACCAATGAGGACCTGTCAAGATTTTCATTTGCAAGGAAAGAAGTCATAAAAGCACAACTGGTCTCCAACAATAATAGGCAAGTGAAGAGAAATATCGATATAAAGACCAGCCAGGCACGCCCGAAGCTCCACTTCATCCACACTGGAGAACAACCTAATAAAGTCCCAAGACGAAATGACGACGTCTTCAGAGGAATTCCTAGCCACAACAGCAACAGTCCCCCTGCACTGATACTCTTCACAAAACGAGCGTCAACACTGATTTTGATACGATTAGAAGGGGATGCCTGCCACACCTCATGATTCCTCAAAAAGTATCAATCCGCCTACACCCACCCACCCGCCGTCTCCTTACCTTTATTGTTGGATACGATCGAAACATTAGCCTGACTAGGCGTAAAAGAGGACCAGTAAACTTTCCACAAAAATAATAGTCATGCACATTCTAGACAAGCAACCCTAGCAATTTTACACTGATCATAATCATGAACACATACTAACAATCATATAATCCTAGAAATTGTACACTGATCATAGTCATCACAGGTTGGCTCAAAATCGAACCGAATCGACACAACCGCCCCAAAAAACCCTAATTGCCCCGTGGTTGGCTTTCACAACATCCGCCTGAAGCACTCCTCGATAGTCATAAGATTTGGGCAACGAAGCATAGGGAGGCGGAGCTTGCAGCACCGCCATGATCGCCTTGCAGTAGCACGACCTGGATCGACATCAGCGAGCTCAGCTGGCGACGTCTGCCGCAAAAAGGGAGAGGGTGATGGGGGAAGACGAAGGAGTGGGGTTTTCGGGGGAGACTGGATTGTGGGAGAGGCAAAGATCGGTGGGTGGGCCCAGGGGCATGTGTCGGTTGAGGGAGGCAGACAGCCGGTTGATTTTAGTCGTTTTCGGTCTCTTTTTTTTTTTGCCAAGTGGCATCCTAGCTGTTTGTATTTGGGAATATATGCAAGTTTTATTTTGAACGGCCGTAAAATCTTGTGTCTATCTATTTGCAACGGTCAAACTATAATTCCTTTTTTAATACTAGTACTATATATATATATATATATATATATACTCGGCTGCTCGTAAGTCGTAATAAATCCAGCGGAGAAGAAGCAAGTTGGTAGACCCACGCTTTCCCCCACAAATGAAGCGGCTTTCTTAAACGCGAGGGAAGAGAAGCGCCGCCGCCGCCGCGGGGGGAGATGGCCCCCGCCGCCCCCGCGCCGGCGCCGGCCGCCACCGCCTGCTCATCGTCGGCGAGCTCCGCGCGCCCGCCCTCCACCGCCTCCTCCTCCTCCCAGTCGCCGCCCAGGCGCACGGTCCCGGCGCTCCTCCTCTTCACCTCCCTCGCCGCCCTCCTCATCCTCTCCTCCGGCGAGGCCCACGACGCCGACGCCGACGCCGCGTCCGGCCGCCCCCTCAAAGGTTCGCGCCCCCCGCCCCGAAAACTCGCCCCGCGACCGCTCTCTGTGCCCGGATTTGACTTCGTGCTGCGCGCGGGGATCGATTACGGCCTCCCCCTAGGGTTTAGGGTTTTTACGCGGTCCTGCCCGCCTTCGGGATGCATCCCCCTCCCCAGGCCGTAACTGTTAGTTGCGGCTTCCTTTCCGAATAGGATTTTTTTTAGCGAGTTCGTTTGAGGTATTGTGTGACCTTCTTATTGGGCAAATATGTTCAGCATTTTGCCGTCAGAACTCGTGATCCGGGGTCCATTCTGGGGGGATCTACTGCTCGTTTCGTTCTTGTCGCAATACCGCACACCGTCGTAAACTGCATTGTTCTTGCTGCCCTTTGGGGGTACCCTACTCGTTGTTATAGTTATGTGTGCTAAGGTTCACACACGCCTGTACCAATGTTGGCCTAACTATTTATTTATCACTGCAGATGTTGGTTTGGAAAATCCGGAGGTGACTTTTGCTCCCTCATCCATGGGTGGGATTTTCTGTGAGAGGGTCCGCATTTCTGGAATGCCAAGGTGGCAGTTTCAAAGCTACGCAAATCAAATACATGTTAGAGTGAATGTTTCTCATTCAATGCCAGAAAAGTTCCATTGGAAAATACAGATTTGCTTTCATGGGTAAGTCTTGTATTGTCTGATTTTTTTTAATACATGCAACTTTGCTATGCAGCAAATTGAAGCAACTTTCGTTTGCAGGAATGCTTCTACGGGTCTGTGCCAATGTGAGATGGGTGAATGGCAAGTTCTGCAAGGTGGCATGTGGAACGCAGTGAAGTCTCCATATGTGAGCAGATATGTTGATGTGAAACTGACTGATAAGAAATCTACTGTCTTCAGCCTCTCCATTCAGGATGGTAAAGGACTTCTTTTCCTGAAACTAATCTGTTTCCGCCAGTCACACAAATTGAACAGCATATGTATCTGCCCTTTCCTCTGAAATACTAATTCATTCATGTTCCGTGTAATCAAAATTTGCAGAGCTTCAGAAGTGGCGCTTAGCTTGCCTTGGTATTGGATTTGTCCTGTTATTCCTGTCACCCATCGTTAGTAAATGGGCACCTTTTTACTATAGCAGCTCTATGGCACTTGGAATCCTGCTTGTGGTGCTGATTGTCCTTTTCCAGGTATTGTTTTAGTCAAATACCTGTTTATGATTCTCTTGATAAAGATTCGTTGTTAAAAGAAGTGAAATGAAATTAATGCATTATGTTAAGATGACCTATTTTTCAAGGCTTTCTCAAAAGTGTTTTCTATTAATCTAGTTGATTGATGTTCCATATTCTTAAGTTCATGTAAGCTGCCTGGATGCAAGTTAAATAGGCTTTGATATTTATGCTAGTTTCAAGTAGAATACACCATGAATCAAGTTTAAAGTTTGGCACCATGAGGATTCTTTGTGTTATATGCAAAGTGTCAATGCTGACTTTTCTTAGCAAACCTAGAAACTTCAGTACACTTCATTAAGTAAGATAGTTATGCCCTGTAAACTTGATTTCAATGGAGATTCAACATATCACTATGGTAATTCAATAGTCCCTTGATCAACCATGCCATAGTAGTATCCGAAGTTCTCTTGTACAAATACTTGAAAGTCAGGTCCATCTTGGTGATTTAGACATAAACAGCGAGCTTTGTAGGATAATACCTTAACGGCGTCTCTTATTTTATTGAACTTTGTAGCTCCTTGTAGCATCAGGTGGTGTACAGATGGACTAGCATCTTGTGAGTCATCAGTGTTTGAACCATTTGATGTTTTTTGGTGTATCAGTGCGAGGGTCTGATTGACCAACCAACAACGAAGTTTGGTGTTTACTTTAGTACATTTAATACGGAATATTTTCTTGTAACTGGTAATGATTTTGCTGGTTGGGGAATCATGAGCATTTCTGACGAGGGAGTTACTTTTTTGTTATGTTCCTGTTTGTTTGTTTGTTCTCTACTCTTGTAGATAACTAGTTACTGATTTAATTTGATGTTACAGTAATCAAAACTCTACACCCCCCGTAATTTTTGCTCAGTGCACATGATGCCAAGTTATCAGTGTGGCCCTGGTTACAATTTATGATAAAGAACAGTCATTCTCAATCAGGTTTCTATTTATTTGCTGATGGAGAATTGGTTCACTTAATGTTCTGACCTCGTTCTTGTTATAGGGGATGAAACTGCTACCAATGGGCAAAAAAGGTTTATTTTACCTTACAATTTATGGATCTGTGGTAAGTTTTCTATATCGTCAACGTTCTGCTATAACATTTTATTACACCATAAATATGCCTATCTGAATATGTTCTCTCTAATTCTTGATATCATTTCATTCCTTTTCCAATATTTAGTTGGGTGTTGGCTCCTACGCTGCACACTACTTCTCCTCAATGGTTGCCTCTATTCTGGAAAACTTTGGCTTGAGTGAGGAGATGCACAACCCTGTAAGTAATTCATCCATCCAAGTATCAACTATAGAATTGGTGATTGAATAATACTTCTTTTTACCCAGCAAACAGCATGAGAGGCTCTTACAGTATATTATTAATAGAAGAGGATAATCATGGTATGATATCTAAAGGCCGCATGGGCCAGAAGCCACATGTTACATCAAGAATTAATTAGCTCAATGCCATCACAGAAATGCATAATTATGAAAGTACCGTTGAGTGTGGGGAAGACATGTGAATGGATTGCTTTGTCCTTGTTGTCCATATTTGTGATGGACTGACCTAGTTCCACGGATATGATTTAGCCTAGTTTTTGTTCGCCCTTTTGCATGGTATTATATCATTTGCTAGCAATCTCCTGACTTCTCAATTATTGTTCCTGTCAGAAATGGTTCACATTATCTTGTCTTGTCTAGTAATAATACTTATTGCCACTACTTTGGGTAATCTTTAAGCTCTTCAAATAACAAAAAATATTGAAATGAATTACAGGTGTCAATCTTTCTGCTGGTAGCAGTTGTCTTGACCGGAGCTGGTTTTGGCTATTGGATGGTGAGGAGATTTATCATTTCAAAAGATGGCAGTGTTGATGCCGGGATAGCACAGTTTGTGAAGTGGGCTATGCGTGTTGTTGCAATGTTCTTTGTTATGCAGGTGGGCTTATCTTCAAACGCTAAGTATTCTTCTCATGCATCTATGAGGACTCTGAATCTTGGTCAATGCCTACATCAGATTTTATTGTCTTTTGAAGTTCATGTTTGACATTGTCTTGTAGAGCACACTGGACCCTATTCTAGCATCGGCTGCTCTAGCTGCTAGCTGGTGGATTTGCTCTGTACTGACAGCAAAGAAAGTTCACAAGCCAACAGCACCGTGAGTGTCCCTTGAGTTAATTACTGTTGTGAATTTACTGTTGCTGTTGAAGCCCTGAATATGCTGATTCTGCTGCAGGAAGCGAAAACAATTAAATGTTCCTTCTCATCGAAGGTTTACTCAAGTATCACCCAACACCCGCCAGGTCCAGTTCTCAAGTCCATCATCAGGGGCGGGTACTGGAAGAGCCACAACAACACAGTATGGTTGGAACAATTTAGCCAATGGAGGTAAAGTAATCAGTATCATGTTCTGCATACTACTGTGAGTCCAGTGTACTGTACTTATAGGAAACTGCCATAAGTCATAAGTAACCTCGAAATATTTAAGGTTGCAAATTGATGGATGTTGGTGCCCTCTGGCCCTGGCTAGTTATTTTGTAATTTTTACTTCATTCAACTGAACTAGTTATGGTCGGAGCCTCGGTGGGTATCCTTCAGGCTACACATTTGCATCCCTGCTCTCTGCTTGCCTTTGGTACTACGAACTAATGATCTTTTAGGCATATATTTAACTCCAGAAGACCTATAAAACCATCAACTTTGACACATTGAAGCATTTGACATAATAACTAGCCAACTCTTGTTGTTGCTTTGCAGGTCTGGTCCCCAAAGCAGTCAGAAAGAGGGTAGCACCCAATCAAGATGAAGACTACTATTCCACCTTCCACAACATCGAACCAAGGAAATACTCAAAGAGAGAATGGGAGGAGTTCACCGAGGAATCGACCAGAAACGCTCTGATGGAACACACAGCGACCCCAGAGTTCGCCCAATGGGCTGCTGACAATGCTCACCGGTTGCGGGTGGAGCGGGACGACGTGTCCGAGGACGAGTCGATCGAGAGCTACTCTAGCTCTTCCGAAGAAGCCGAGAAAGGCGGAAAAGCTTCTCGTCTGTTGAGCAGGTTTATGTGATATCGTCACCGGCTAAAACTGTAGGGAGCTCGACGTGCTGCTTTTGCGGACGATGTGTATAAGGTAGGATTGGAAACTTGGTAGCGGTAGGGGGTGGAAGTTCATCGTTTCCACATGGTTCGCCATTGCAGCAGAATGCTTGGTGACTGTAGGCGGTAGTTGGTTGGTTAACCATCATCCATCTCAATTCAACTAATGTTAGGTTTAGCTGGCAGTCTGCCATCCATGGATCTTTAGATTTTTAGTCGATGCATCAGGGGATGTGGACCGGTGTCGGTTCTGCAACCATTCGATGGATTAGGGACAGTCGATCCTGTTGGGGTCTTGTCATTGTCTTGTTGAACATCTCCTGTTTCATTCTCAGGTGTGTGAGAGTAGCATTTCAAGGATCTTTATCTCTTGTTAGCTGGGCATGTACTATGTGAGAGTTATGCAGAAGCAAAGACTGTTTGGGAGCCGGTATGATGGGTGGCATCGCTGGCGACTTGGCTGTTAGGCTCATCAGCTTAGTTAGATTGTGTTGGTGTTCTTGTTTTCGGAATTGTGGTGAACGTGAACGGCCAGCTTGCTTGCCTTTGTGGTGATTTGGAAGAATTTTTGAATTCCCATGAAAAAAAAAGGTTCGAGTTGTTCTTCCTATGTACTCAGAGAAATAGAACTATATTCTGAGAATGGCAGTCCAATCTTTTTTAGTTCAACAGGGTACTTGGAATGGGCTGAGAGGTTCAGTCTCATTTAGACTATATTCTGAGAATCTGCTGTAAATGGTAGTGAATCTGCCTTTTTTTCTCCCAAAACATTGACGTGAGGTGCACGGGCGGGGGAATTCAAACTCGAGACACCAGGCAGAGAGGCGCACATGCTTTACCACTTGGGCTGAAGCAGTTTTTGTGGAAACATGTACTTAAACTTGTTTTATGTATTTGAACCTAAATTCTCTAAATTCGAATTTTCATTTATTTTAAATCCTGAAATCCTTTTTTCCCTTTTTGAAAGGACAAAAATCCCTATTATTTACAGGGGATTTTTTCGTAACTTGCCATGTTCATTTTCATTATAGGTAGCATGGTATTTTCTAGGTTCTTTTTGTAATGGCCCCTATGGCAAGCTTTTGGGAATTTTTATTACTTATTAACGAAAAATTTGGATTGTTTTTGTAACTTTTTCACATTGCAGTTTTATCACTAAGAGCATGTCATTTTAACAATTAATAACATGACATTTCCATTGTTAGTAAACTGTTAGTTTTACTACTAAGAGCATGACATTTTAATAATTAATAATTTGGCATTTTTATTATTGATAGGATGATGGTTTTATGATTAAGAGCATGGCATTTCTATTATTAATAAAATGTTAGTTTTATACTAAGAGCATGCCATTTTAATAATTAATAATTTGGCATTTTTTATGATTGATAGGATGACGGTTTTATGATTAAGAGCATGACATTTACTAGTAACATGCCGTTTTTATTTTTAGGAGGATGGCAGTTTTCTTATTAACATGATGACATTTCCATTATCGGCATGACATTTTTATTATTAGCAGGATGACAATTTTATTATTAAAAGGACCGCGATTTTATTTTTTCCAATGACGCATTTTTATGATTTTTTGCACAATGGACCAAATAAAGAAAAAAAAATACAGCACGACGTTGTGTTTTTCGTCCTTGACAAAAATAAAGAAAAATCTTCTCCAAAACATGGTTTTTTTTTTGCACAGTGAAACATCTTGACGAAAAATTTCATAAATTGATTTTTCAGATCACAAGGCACATGGTTTTAATCATACCATTTGAAAATTTATAATTTAAAGAAATGACTGTTTTATAAAGTAGCATGGCATTTTTTTAAACATTTTCATATCATGGCAATTATACATTTATGTTTTCTCTGTTTTCCGTAAGAATTTTTGTTGTTCATGGCAATTATACATTTATGTTTTCTCTGTTTTTATAAGAAAGTATGTTTTTTTTTGTTCATGGCATTTGAAAAAAACATTAAACTAGGTCTCCGGACCAATGGGGTTCGCCCTAGCCCTCCCCTGACGAACAATCGAGGGAGGCAAAACGTTCGCTGGGAGCTGCTCCCTGGCGAACGATCGTTGGATCGGTCGCCAGATATTAGAGTCCTTATAAAAAATTTGTATGTACTCCTCCCGCATAAAAGAGGGAGATTTGTATGTGCTCGCAAAAGGAAATAATTCACTATTGTAATCTTGTAATTGAATTGGGGTGCGGGCCGTGTGGCTAGATCTCACTCGACTGAGATTTTACCTCAGTCGACAACATATAATATAAAAAAGAATAAAGGAAAAATAAAAAAGGAATTTTTGTATGGATCCCGAATTGTATTCCATAATAATAGAATCCAGGAGGCCGGACGGCGGCAACTGAATCTCTCAATCCTTCTTTGACTCTGCATATTCAGAGAGAGAGAGAGAGAGAGAGAGAGAGAGAGAAAGCGAGGCCGCCTCCGTCTCCACTTCCGTCGCTTTCTCGCCGCCCAATCCCCGCGTAAACCGCCAGAATCCCGATGCCCTTATCCGCCCTCTGATCGAGATTGCTTGGCTCTCGGCACCGCCAAATCCCTCCCCATGGCATTGCAGATTGGCGGCGGCGGAGGCGGCGGGGGGTTCCGGAGCCTGATGCGGCGGAAGCCGGTCGACTCCGACAGGGTCCGCGCCGAGGGGCAGCAGCTCGCCAAGGAGCTCAACATCCTCGAGCTGGTCGCGATCGGTGAGGCGACGTCCTCCTCTCCCCTCCCGTCCCGTCCGCTTTTTCTTTTCTTTTCTGTCCGCCCTTTTCCGGAGTAACAGTATGTTTCTGCCATGGAAAAGCGAGGCCTTTTTTGTGGTTTTGGGAACTTGGGAACTGTGGCGACACTGCAGGTTTCGTGGTGGAAACTGTTCTGTTTATTAGATTCACGGGTCTTGGATCAATGGAGCCGCTAGATTTATTTGGAGGATTTGCTTTGTTTTCTGATTAATGTGCTTATATAGTACGTAAGTACATTTTAACAGGGATTTTAACAATTGTTTACCTAGGCCTGACCTTTTCGAATTGTGACATGTTTTTCGCTCTGAAACAACAGAAATACAAGGGAACAATTTTGCCATGGTACTCTGTTTTTCTCTTTGTAAACAAATGCAGTAAATAAAATAAATCAGTTTTTACATTATGCTTGTATTAGTATTTTTATAAGAAGAAGAAAACTGGAGGCTTATATTAGTTGTGAAAGGCATTCGGATGAGTGGACTTGCTCAAGTTCTATTTTTGGCAGTTGTTTTGTTTCAACCTGTTAACCAGTGCTGAAGTCAATATACAGATTAAAAGACAAAGGGGGTCCTTACTTTATGATCTGTTAACCTTGTATGCTGCCTTGCTTAAGCACAATTGCGGTTGCAGAACTTAATTTTACAATCTGCCACAAAAAATAAAACAGCCACGGAAGTAACAATGTTTTTGTTAACCAAAACGGTAAATAGGCAAATGTTTGATAGACAAATGACATTATCATAAATTCACAATCCAGCAGTGTCAAATGGAGCCCGACGTTTGAGATTCTATTTAACAAAGTCTTTTTCCCCAATACATTGAGTGCTTGTCTGGATTGTTTATGAAAGTTTACAGACGGAGTATTAAATATTGTTGATGAACCCTTCCATTATCTACCAGGGGTTGGTTCGACAATTGGAGCTGGAGTATATGTTCTTGTGGGAACAGTTGCCAGGGAGCATGCTGGTCCAGCATTGGCAGTTTCATTCCTGATAGCTGGAATAGCTGCTGCACTTTCAGCATTCTGTTATGCCGAGCTTGCTAGCCGTTGCCCCTCTGCTGGAAGCGCCTATCATTATTCATATATCTGCATTGGCGAAGGGTAAAAATTACTGGCCCCATGGCATAGATTGCATTCTATACCATGGTGAATTCTGTTGTTGTGTTACATTTAGGATCTTATAAAGGCCAGAATGATCTAACATGGTTCACACGTCGTATTTATCTAGTGTTGCCTGGTTGATTGGCTGGTCGTTAGTGCTGGAATATACTCTTGGCGGATCCGCTGTTGCCCGTGGAATATCCCCCAATTTAGTGAGTGTCATCTCTTTCTTAGAGCTTTGTTCTGTGCAATTTTAGTCAATGCTTGAACTACCGCTCTGCTATATTCCTTATTTTATGAACTTTCATTTCTCTTTTCAGGCCTTGTTTTTTGGAGGACCAGATAGCTTGCCATGGATTTTAGCACGGCATCAACTTCCATGGTTTGACGTTATTGTTGATCCCTGTGCTGCCGCTCTTGTTCTTGCTGTCACTGCTTTATTATGCCTAGGGATAAAAGAGGTTGGTACTTTGCTCAGGTTATAAGATTGCTCATTTCCCCAAATATAGGACCATCAATGATATTCTATTTGAATTTCTTGCAGAGCTCATATGTACAAGCAATTGTGACGATTATGAATGCTTGTGTGATGCTATTTGTGATCATAGCTGGTTGTTATATTGGCTTCCAGATTGGATGGGAGGGCTATAAGGTTACTGACGGGTATGTACCCTGAAATCATTTGGTATTTAGCATACTGCAGAGGGACGTTTTTCACTGAACTACTTAAACTTTTTTTTCGAAAACTAGTGGAATAACAGTGTAAACTTTTCAGGTATTTTCCATATGGAGTAAATGGAGTGCTTGCTGGATCAGCAACTGTTTTCTTTGCATACATAGGCTTTGACACAGTAGCGAGTACTGCCGAGGAGGTAAGGAAGGTCCTACTTAATGACTTTTTTGTCCACTTCCATTAAGGAGATATATATTGACTTTTGTTGTTATTGTTGATTTTACTTTGATCGACAGGTCAAGAATCCACAACGAGATCTACCTCTGGGAATAGGAGCAGCATTGTCTATTTGCTGTTTCTTGTACATGATGGTCGCTGTTGTTATTGTTGGGATTGTACCGTATTTTGCCATGGACCCAGATACACCTATTTCATCCGCCTTTGCAAAACATGGAATGCAGTGGGCAATGTAAGGACTCAATTCTCCTTTTGTTTATGCTGTTGGCTATAATGGTCATCTGGTGTGCTTCTGACTGAATTATTCACTATTTTTAGGTATGTTGTGACAAGTGGTGCTGTTCTTGCACTGTGTTCAACCTTGATGGGCTCACTTCTTCCACAGGTATACAAACACGTCACTGTGACTCGAACTTGTGATAATTAGCAGTCTACCCCGTAACGTTTAGTCTATATAGAATTTCCATACTAGGGGCGGCTACTTTTCTGCAGTGCGTAGGTGAACCTAGTCTTGCAGCTTGCCGAAGCTGAGTGACTTCCAAAATAGTTGCTAAACTACTTGAGTTTTTCATCTTCACAGCCTAGAATACTGATGACCATGGCAAGAGATGGACTGCTGCCATCTTTCTTCTCCGATGTGAACAAGCACACACAAGTACCTGTCAAGGGCACAATTGCGGCTGGTATCTGTGCTGCTGCTCTGGCCTTTTTCATGGACGTTTCTCAGTTGGCAGGAATGGTAAGAAGACATCAAGCCGTTGTCATTTGCATACTTTGATTTGATGGCCTTACAGACACAAAAAATAGTTAGCAGCACAGCACTGCATAGATTTATTTAACATGGAACAGAAATTTAAACGCTTGACCGTTTCAGGTCAGTGTAGGCACACTCCTATCGTTCACCATGGTGGCAGTATCGATCTTGATACTCAGATATGTTCCTCCAGAGGAGGTGGTCCCTCTACCATCACCTCGGCGAGAGTCAATGGGTTTGAGCCAAGAATATGATGAGGAAAAGGGTAGGGATCCACTTGGAGATGAGATCTGCGACACATCTCAAATAAAGGATTTGATTATGACAGAACCAATGAAGGACCCTCTTCTCGAGAAGAAGCAACACAAAGGTAATGTGCACACAGTTGCTTTCAGATTTAAACTAGCTGTCCCATTTTTCCCACAAATAGTGTGCTTCTTATAACGGAAGCTAACCAAGATGAATGATCTTTCCTTATAATAATATATTAGGCACGATGGATGAGATGAAGCGTCGGAAGATAGCTGCTTTCAGCATAGGGTCTGTTTGTCTAGGAGTTCTGGTCCTCACGGCTTCAGCTTCTGCCACATGGCTACCTTTGTAAGTATGCATATAGTTGGGAAAGAGATATACATTTGCCTCATTGTTTTATTTAGGAAAATGGAAGAAGCTTTATTACCCCCGGCCTCTGTGCCATAGATGAATGCAGCAGCATCTATAATTGTACCGTTCATTACAAGTCACCAGAAAATCTAACAAATATATGTTTGTTTCTTATTATCAGCCTACCGCTTTGCATTGGTTGTATTGTTGGTGGTGTGCTCCTTATACCTGGTCTTGTTGTACTCTGCTGCATTGACCAAGATGATGGCAGGCACTCTTTTGGTCATTCTGGAGGTACATTAAACTGCTTGTCCTTTTCTTGTTCTTCTTTTAAATTAAAGAGGATGCATGTTTCTTTAGGCTGAACTCTGTCTTTGCTGCAGGATTCATGTGCCCCTTTGTTCCGTTTCTACCTGTTGTATGCATCCTCATAAATACATATCTGTTGATAAACCTTGGGTGAGTGCACATCTAACTTTAGATGCTTATTTTGCTTCCCTTTTTTCGTGATTTATCCAGAAAGCACAATCATTTTCATTGTATTTTTCAGCGGAGATGCATGGCTGAGAGTCGGCATATGGCTGCTGATAGGTGTTTTCATTTACATTTTCTACGGGCGAACCCGCAGCTCGCTAGTCGATGTTGTGTATGTCCCTGTGGCCAAGGCCGATGTACGCAGGAGTTCATCTGGTTTCATGTCCTAGAAAAGAAAGAACCGTCACATCTTGGAGCTGGCAAAACCTCGCTGGCCCTCACCTGCGCAGCCGGATATCAGCCAGCCCAGAAGGGCCTGTTGAATTGTTGGGAGCTTAGTCGTCGACAGGGTCTCATTGATTCAGTTTTTGGGGGGCGTGCATGAGAAAGATCAGCATACAGACTAGAGTTTGGATTGGGTGGTGTAGTGTGTGATTGTTTGTAATTCATTCATTCATGTATAAGCAAGCCCCTTGTAACGGAACGGGTGAATACTGATTGAAAAGAGATGATGGAATCTTACAGAAATTGCAACAGAAACCATTCTTTCAAAGCTTCAATACAGTTATTTATACCAAAAAAAAAGAAATATATATATGTGCATCTGCTGTTTTGTTCCTGTTTAAACTTGAAACGAACACGATGAAGTCGGATGGGACAAATCAGAAATGTCTGGAGGCCTGAATTTTGGATAGATCACTGCTAGCTACAGTACAACACAACTTGTCATGGTTTTAGTTCAACCACGGCAAGTATTTTTGAACGGAGGGAGTACAACAGAAACAAAAACACAAACATAAAGACTAGCTAGTACTCCTTGGTGAATGCAGGGAGGATCCCTGTGAGAAAGGACTGGAGCAGTATCATCGCTCTCTCGGGTTGGAAGGCCGGGACCATGTGCCCGGCTCCTCTCACGGTGGCGAAGGTGAACCCTCCTGCGTACTGCTGGACATAGCCCCCTACCTCGTGGCCGGCCGTCCATGGACGCCATGGCTCTGTAACGGAGAGGTTGAGGTCGCGGATCGTGTACTTGGTGCCGGTGAAGGGGCAAACGGAGTCGAAATCCCCGCTGAAAATCAATTCGTCAGTCTCAGCATCAACAAGAACCAAAGTGTCCCAAGCTCATATGCATCATAATTTGTCTGATGGTCTGTCGTCAAGAAGGTGGAGTACCTGAAGAGCCATATGGGCAGGCCGTGGTCGATTAGCCGTTTCAATGTTGGCACCATGGTGTCCGGTGAGTCCTTGAAGTCCTCAAAGGATCTGCACAGCACAAGGTTAATCAGGCCAGTTCTAGAATGAAAGATGTAAATTCAAGTACCAGGTAGCTCATCAAAAAAGCTATCTTCAGCACTAGCTAACCTGCAATCGAGTCATTTGGTTTCTCTGGCATGGAGAGCCTTCTGAACTTGAGGACTGTTGAGGTAGTCCTTGGTAGGCACATAGCTGCATGGATCATATCCGGGCAACTGAAAAGGATGTATGTACGTGCGTTCATAAGGGTGAGTGTATATGAGATATACCCTGTTCAGTAAAAATAACGAAAAAACTCAATAAAACATGCGCAAACTAAGTTCATTTTTCTGGTCACGTACGTAAGTGCTGGAGTAGTAGGAGCCGTTGGAAGCGATGATGCAAGTGGGAGCGTATATGTTATCGTGATCCAGGATGCCGTCCTGACATTCGGTAATGGCCTGGTAGCACCTCGCACTGATGGAGGACTCGTTGATGCTGCAGCCGCCAGCGATGTCAGCCCAAACCTCATCGGAGATGGCACCGTGGCTCCACAGGTACTTGTAGTGCCCTATGAGGTTTTTCATCTTGTCGAGGTAAGGGTTGCCGACCATGATACCCTTGTGGTTACACTTCCGCTTCGGTAGACCCCCTGTAAACACAAGGACGGCCGAGATTGCCCAATACCCCTTCATAACAGAGGGCAGGATAGACCTATTTTAAAAAAGCTTCCTCCGCCGGCCTGACCGCCCGCAAAAAAGAAAAAAAAACAGGCGAAGCAATACGCATATGAATACAGCCCGCCCGCCCGGGAGGGAAAAAAATTAAACCGGCCGGCCGCACGCGCCTGGTGACGTGGCAGGCATGCAGACGTGCCCGCCCGCAATCACGGCGGCAGTCCCCGCAGTCAACGCGTCGCGCCGCATCCGTCGCGGCCCCACCCGCCCACGTCCCCCGACCGCACGCCAGCCCGCACCCGTCTGCCAAGCACGGCGCCCGAGGCGCGCATGCACGTAGGCGGTTGCACGCGCGTGCCGCCTGCTGGACGCCACCGCTGCCGCCGCTGTCGTCTCCTCGCATGCCGCGCCTCCACTGCCGCCTGCCGCCGCGCCTGCCGGACGCCA